TACATATTTCTTTACTAGAGACTAGAATCTCTACCTTTATAATAGTGTACTTCTTACTTAAAAGTACTAGTACTAACTCTAGACAACAAATAGAGTCAGTATACTCAGAAAATCAATTACTCTTTATCTACTATACCTTTTCCCTTCTCCTTATTATCTTTCTTCTTTTCTAGCCTTACAACTACTTAAGGAACTAGGAAAAACTTTGTGTTTAAATAGTACAATTTGTTAGTCATACATTTAATTCTTACCTAACTTGTTCCCTTTCTTAACTACTACCTTTATCTTTTCTACATTTGTAACAATATTAGAACCTGTGTAAACAGTTAACTTATTGTACACAATTTGTTAGTTATACTTACACTTATACCTTTTAATCCTTCCTTTTTCTTTCTTTTCTTCTACTTTGTTACTAATTATACTAAGACTATAGTCTTGTCCTTCTCCTTTGTATTAACCTTAGTCTTTGTATAGTCTTCCTTCTTCACCTTAGTCTAAGCCTCCTTCTTAACCTTTACTCACACTGTCTTCTTAGCCTCTACCTTTACTTTTACCCTAGTAGTAGTCTTATCCTTCTTTACTTTTATAAGTTCCTCTACTATTGTCTTACAATCTACAAGATATTCTGTGTTAGTAAACAAATTAGAAAGTAGGAAATTAGAGAACTTACTACTAGACTAACCTTCTACTAACACAGACACTACCTTCTTACCTTCTGATTTGTTGTTATTGTGAGTACTATTGTTTAAGCTCTCCTTATCTTTAGACTCAGGATCTATAGTTAAGCTATTAGTTTCCTCCTTTATAATATTGTCCTCTAGTTTACTTTCAGTGTTAGAAGCTATATAATATATTAGTATATGAGTCAGAGATAATGTACTTTACAGATGTACTTACTGAGTGTATGTTTGACTAGCTTGTTATTCACATTCATTCTCTTACTAGTTACTGTATAATTGTACATATACAAAATAGAGGAAAATCACAAAATTAGTATAGAAAAGTAGAAGAGAGTACAACACTTACTGTCAGATTTAATAGAGAGTAGTAATAACATAGTGAAAGTAGTAGAACAAAGTAGGAAGATTAAGTAACAATGTTCCTACATACAGAACTTACATTCAGTCTACTAATTATAAAATCAACTATGTAACTACAGACAGTCACAAGTAGACATACTAAGAGATGAAACAATTAGTATTATACTAAGAACTGTACATTATATTAAAGAGATACTTATAAACCTATCAACAGAATTGACAGGATTCTGGAAGCTTACTATGTTTAATAGTAAGCTCACACAGTTAAGGGAACACATTCCAACTTAGGCAAATATCTACTGAGTAGAATCCTAGACAATCTAACACAATCTGATAATTCTGCTAAGGGTCTAATAATACTACTTCACACTTGACACTCTCTGGACAGTATTTAACACTTCAGAGTTGTATCAGTAGATAGTAACATTCTATTAATACACTAGTATCTTTTCTATTGTATTTAGGAATGACCTTATACTGTAGGTACAGAGGAACCCTCCTACATTTGTTTTCTCCAATTTTCCAGTCAGTGTGAGTAAAATCAAGTATAGTACAAGTAATCCAACATAATCTGTATAATCTGACAAACTATCCACCACATTCTAGTCTCACAATTGGTTGAGAGTCTGTGTGCTAGGATAGTGTTTTATTAGCTAACACTAGATTTTCTTCTTATCCCTCTCAAACACACTATTCATTTAGAGCCTACTGTAAGAGGGGTTTCTTTAAGAAGTTCTAAAGGTTGGCTATAAGTAGACCCTTGGCCTAACTCATAGGGAGTAGGGCTGTTACTAAGGATAACTATATTCTAAAGTAGGAGGCTAGATACTCTACAGTTAGAGAAGGACCAGAATAGAATAGAGAAAGAGTTAGACAAAGGAGGACCTTCTATAAGAGTTTCAACCCTAGTATTACTACTCTCTTTTCCAGATTTGTTGAAGGACAACTAAGAGACACAGTAGTTAGGACCTTTAGAAGGATTTGACTTGGAAGAGAGAGTAGTCACTCTACAAGTTCTACAGCTTTTACAGTATAAAAGCCTACTAACATATAGTAGAACTAGAGCACTTAACTTATTACTAGAATACAAGACACTAGGAAGGACCCTCTACTCACTTCAGCTAACAGTAGTAGGAGAACTGTTAGACAGAGAGACAGTTACTACCTTAGATAGGGTAGGAAGACAAGTACAGAGAAATTGAGAGTTAGAGAGTCTAACACATGTTTAGCTAAGTAGGTAACATTAAGAGTAGCTGCTACACTTACCATCTGAATTGTTGTCCTCTAGTAAAAGTGTTTCACAGTAGTAGCTCTAGTTCCTACCAGTTCTACTGAATCTACAATCTGTAGTAAGTAACTAACAGTAATAGTAGATTATACCCTACTTGTAACTAGTATTATAGTAGTAACTATAATACTAGTAACTAATACAGAGGTATTACAGACAGATTCCTTGGATGTCAGGACACCCTCCCTTATAAAGGGTGTACAATGTGTCTGTGTTTAACAAGACAGACATAGAGAGTCTCTTACAGTTTTTTAAAGATATTAAAATCTTAGTAAACAACTTTAATAAGACTAATAATTAGAAGTGTAAACAGAGTCTCTACTACACCTTAGCTGAGTGCTTGAGGCTTTAGGGCAGACTTCTAGAGTTGAAGAAAGTAGGAGGATATGATTGGGTAGAAGCTAAGAAACAGATCTTAACATTATACTTAGAGTTAGAGGAAGAAAAACAGTACAGGTAGAGTAATATAAAAAGGTTGGTAGAGAAATGGTAGAAGTAGGATATTAGGACAAGAGAGGAGTTCAGAGAGTATCAGAGACAGTTCTGAGTACAGTCAGACTATCTGATAAGGGTAAAGAAATATACAGAGAGGGAAGTAGAGTAGGATTTCTTGTGTAGAATTTCTGAAGGGCTGAAGAAGTTGTTACTTTAAAGGATAGAGATCAAGTTTGTAGATAAGGAGGAAGGAGAGCTGTACCTGATAAGTGACTTAGTAAAGTAAGGGGACTTGGTTTTGAGCAGGACTATAGTATTGAAAGAGAAGGAAAGAAGAGATACAAGTAATAAAGAGGGAACTAAGGTAAAAACAGAGGAATCTAACATGTTTTCAATCCTAGAAAAGCTACAGAGTTTGTAGACTATAGTAGATTAGTTACAGAAGACAGGTATAGGGTAGGTAGTAGTACCTGCTCAATCTGCTCAATCTGCTCAATCTGAGCAATCTGTTAGAGTAATATGTAAATGTAACTTTTATAACAAAATAGAGTACTATATATAAGGGTGTAAGAAGGTAGTAGAGTATATTCAAGCTTAAAAGTGTACTCAGGTTATGAGTAGAGTAATACTACTAGGTAGGGTACTAATACTAGAAAGCTTACTAGGAATGATAATTAAAGAGTGATTAGACACATACTATAGTTAACAGAAGACTTATACAGTGTTGTTACTTGACTTTAAGGAGAGTCTAGAGGACTCTAATTATAGAGCTTACATTACAGAGATAGTAGTAGACACTAACAAAGACAGAAATGGATTAGAAAGGATAAACAAGGTGCTCATTAGTAATACAAGGAAGTAAGGAGTTACTGTAAAGAAGGCTAGAAACAAGTTAGTAGATGAGAAAAAGGGTAAAGGGAAGAAGGTAGGACTGGACAAAGGAAAAGAGAAGAGAGTTAGTAAAGAGGTAAAGTGTGTAAGGGTAGTAAGAGAGCTAGTAGTAACAAGGAAGGTGTTAGAGGAGATAGTGAAAGAGAGTAGAGGAGGACAGGTACTAAAGTACAGAGTACTAATAGAAGACAAGAAGATTCTTTAAGGAGTTTTGGACCAGATTTTAGTAGAAAGTATAATGTTAACAAATTGAGAATTGTTAGTATTAGTACCAGACCTTTAAAAAGGAGTAAGAGAGTTAGTAGCTATAAAGTAGGTAGTAACTAGACTAGGGAAAGAGGGGAATGTACAGAGTGGATTAATTAGAATAGTAGCAGATTGTAAGAAGGACAATCTAGGAGTGCTAGATAATGAGATAGAGATAGTAGGTGAGAAAGTATACTTGTAGACTGAGTAGGGAATTAGAAGGATAGGTGAAGGGAGTATACTACTAAGGACAGTTATAAGGATTTTTAAGAATATGTTAGAGATACTATGTATACTAGATTAAGGGGTAGTAGTTTGTATCATTTAGTATAGTATCTGTTACAAGATACAGATATTTATAGAAAAGTAAGGAACTATCAAATTAGAGACAGTGAATGTATGAAAATTAAAGACAGTAGGTGTGGTTCCAAAGATGAGGTTGTTAGTTAGAGGAGTGGATTTGGTAATACCTTTCTATGTAGTAGAAACAGTACTGTTTCAAGCCCTGTTAGAGCAGCCATTCTTTGTATTGACTGAATGTGAGACTAAAGATTATACTAACAGAAGCTAGGTACTAACCTTGACAGATCCTAACAATCCTAGACAACTATGTAAAGTATCCACAAGGACAAGGAAGAATGAGACAGGCAATAAGGTAAGGAAAGTATAAACTCAACATAGTATGTCACATCAGTCACAGCACAGCCACTTCCCCATTAGGAAGGACCCTGATGGCAAAAATCGAGCAGTGGACATTAACATTTTTTTAGCACTTATAAATACAAAAAAAAATAGATTATAGTTTTACAGCTTAGCCAGAATACTAGCTGGAAGGATTCTATAGCTATAGTATTTCTTATTTGCCTATTGAGCCTGTGCTCCTGTCAACCCCTTTCTATATGCATCCATGAACCAAGCAGACCAGTTACAATACTTACAAAACATATAATAAAATCAATTTTGTAAGAAAGAAAGATTTAAAGTACTTACTTTTGAAAGAAATTAAGAGGAATAGAATCAAGGCATGTTTGAACATGCTTTTCCATTTGAGCTTCAGTAGTAGGGGCAGGCATCATCCAGTAGTTGAATTTAGCATAACCCTAGCACTGTTCAATGAAGTTCAATTCACAATAGAATTTAGGATAAAAAACTGCCTTGTGTCTATAACCTTCTACCAATTCTTCAATTGCAGACTTTTGAGCTTGAAAATCTGGCTGGTTAAACAGAATTCGTTGACAGCAGCATACTGATTGTGCTGATTTGTCAGCACACTTGAAACCTTCACATTGTGTGTGTTTTCCATCAACATTAATTCCTTGTTCTTGAAGGATTTGGGCCATTCCTTTAAATTGGCCAGAATGATGAGGGTGGTTATCAGGGAAATAAAATGATTGTAATGAACCATCAGGGAGGACTCCAGAATGTATAGGAGGGGCACCAGATGTGTCTCTAGCTTTCCACCCTGGATTTTTAGGCATTTGACATGCAGATAATGTATTACTTACTCTTTTTTAATAAGAAGTAGTATTGTTAAATGTAAAGAGAACTGTTTTGCTAGGGAAACAGCTCTCAAAGCACTTGATAGCCTGTAAGAGCTGCTGATAAAGATCATTATGGGTGAAATACTATTGAGAGGGGTTATGTGAGAGGCTTAGAGGGATCACACAAAGAGGGGGGATAGTAGACTCAGCTTGCTCTACTTAGTATCATTGTCTGTTAATTCAGTAGGTATATATAATATGTAGCTATGTCTCAGGTATGTCTGTTGCTTATATGCATCATTCCATATATGTTAACACTCCCCTTCAAACATATATTAGTTTAATAATATGTTTGTTTTGCAACTATTTGTTTATTTGATTTGTAGTTATTTTTATTTTTATTTTTAGGGGTAGTTATAGCACTACTACCACTCCCCTTCAAACATTTATAAGTTGGTTAGACCTATAAGATGTTTGATTTGCAGATTGTTCCAACATTTTTATTAGTATTGTATCTGTATTGTACATTGTGTCTGTATTATATTTGCTTGTGTATCACATATAATAATATCATTTGTATAATATAAATGCATTGTTTGTATTGTATATTTTAGTCCACTGTGTGTTAACTTTGTGTGTTGTTAGATATCTATTAAGTTTTCGTTTGGTGTTGTGTTATTAGTTCTGTACTTTGTTCATTGTTATATTATTAAGTCATTGTTTGTTGTCATGTAGACTGTTTGATGTGATTGAAATTGTTCAGAGTTAATTTGAAGTTTGTGCATAGTTTACTGTTCAATGACAGTATTGTTTTCACAATAAATCGTTTGAAATCATTATTAATATCATATATGCTTTAGAGACCTGCAGAATCTCATGAGCACCATGTAAGATTGTAATGTGTGTGTTTTATTTATTAAGTTTGTTTGAGTATTACTAGTAATTTCTTTTTACTTCACTGTGAAACTAATGAATCATGCTAGTAAAATGTATATCTGGTGTTGCAATGATATCCTTCTTTAATCATTGCTGTCTGTGTTTGTCTACATTTGTATATGTGTTAAACATTCAGCAATAGCTGGTTTGTGTCTTTGGATTGAAGCTTCACATTGATTGTATGTTGTAATATCAATAATATTGTTTGTTTTTTGCCAGATTGCTTCATTCTGAGATCAATGAGGTTTTATGCTAACATATATTTGTTACATAGATGTTATATCTGGCTGCAGGCAGCTCACTATGTGTCTAGGTGCATTGTATATGTATTATATCATGAATGTATTGTCTGTATCACTTTGTGTTATTGTTTATGTTTATGTAGTAACTTATTAATATTGTGTTGTGTAATGAATCGATTTTGATGCATCCTGAGTAACTATACAATCTGTTGTGTTATTTCTTCAATAGCCAACATAATTATCTGTCATAAATTGTTACTAACGTACGTTTGTATTATTTATTATTAACAGTGTTATTGTGAATTGTTGTGATCATGATGTTATGAATATTTATTAGTATTATGGCTATTGTTCTTTGCTTTTTCTTTTGCAAAGAATAGTGTATTGTAACACAATCTACATATAAGTGATATATTGGATTATGTTTACTATAATAGTCTCCTAGCATACTTTAGTTAATCTAGTAGTATGTGTAATTGTAGTATTTGTTCAACGTTTTATTTGTTAATTGATTTGCTAGGTAAAGTGTTTTATATATTAGTTTTATTTATTTTATTTGAATCATTGTATAGATATACTTATTAGTATCTATCCAATGTATTTCATAATGTTATAATACCATTCATGCTTGTATTAATTGCACAGTGAGGGCAAATTAATTGTTTGTACAAGAATTGATTTAATAGTTTTATTTGATTATATGTATGTGCTCCATACTTGTTTGTATAGTTATTATCTTTGTATTGTTCAATTGTAGTTGTGAATTATATTGCAATTATATTTGTATTATTGTATGGATATATTATTTATTGTTTTATGTATGTTCCAAAGTATTATTTTCGTTATTCATCACTTTTATCCATGAACTATAGTCTGGATTGATGAATTATTTCATTATATGACATGATAATTGTCTGTATTTTATTTATTTTCATATTAAACGTTGTTAAGTTAATTGGATTATTATATTAATATTATTTGCCAAGTATGAGCATTCGTTTCATAGTAGAATTATTATTTATTTAACGTTGAAGTTCAATTGTGTATTGTATTGACTTCTGTTATTTGTTCCAATCAACATTATTTTGTATTACATCAAATGATTTACCTTTGTAATCTGTTATATCTGTCTGTAACTTCTATTACTTATTGTTTTTTAGGATCAGTAATAAGATTGACGTTTCCACATTATGAATATTCATTTGTTCATCTACAGTTTCACATCATGAACGTTTGCACATTTGCTGCAAAGAATGCTTTGGGAATATGTGCCATTTCTAGGCTTTATTATTATTAATTTATTAATTATCCGTTTGAATAACTTTTATAAGCATTGAAAATGTTATGTGATGTATAACTTTTATATTCTTTAATAAGGTATTTTGTGTTCGACAGATTCGTCAGATTCATTGTGGATTTCACTTAGTAATGTAGTCAATATGTCTGTATTAAGAATTCAATGTTCATCATTAGTGTGTATATTATTCAATTACTCCCCTTCAATTCGAGAAGGTTATTCTTTGAGTAATTGACAAGTAGTGTAAGTACATAAGTACATTGTTGATTTCCTTTCATGTATTTGTAATCCAACAAGTAGTGTTAGTACTTTGTTATTTTACTTTTGTACGTTTGTCAGTATGTGTTATAATATAACAGTATGTTTTAAGTTAACTCATAATGTTTGACATACATCATTTTGTTTAAACATTACACTGTAACATTGTACTGTTTGTTTTATAAATTTTAATGTGATGTTTGTAATATGTCTGTAATATTTCAGACATGCTAAGAAATCTCTCTGCATGTTTGCAGTTACAACATTGGTTGTGCATCTATTCATATCTCTGATAAGATGTAATAGATATGCTTGTGTCTGCTTTTCTTTATATATTATACTGTCTAAGATAATGTGTTAAACGTTTTATTAATTTATTTAATCTTATTATATTATGATTGTTTTTGTTTGTAATCATTATAATAAGTGTGTCTGTCATAGTTTTTCTGTTGTTTGTTGTACTAGCCATATTGGCATAGTACTTCACTTGTATATAAGCTTTGTAGCTTCAATATAAGTTTATTTATACTTTGTTAAAGTATATCTACATTCTGTGTGATTAAATATGTTCTGTTACATTGTTGTAGTAATGGTAGAGGTATTATTCTACTGTTTGCCATTATTATACATTGTTATTATATGTTTACACTATCATAGGTGTAAAGTATTGTTATTTGTTTATTGACTATAATTGTGTACTCATTCCTGTACCATAGTTACTGTAATGTACTTTGTAACTTTATTATTATTATTATTAACTAATTTGTCTGTAGATAGTTATATGCTTTCATAAGCTGTATTAGTACATAGATATTGGATGTCTTAGATATTGGATGTATATCTGCTAACTTCTTTATCTCATATCTGACATGTCCGACATATCCAAGACATGTACCTGAGACATGTCTTACATTAATTGTTCAGCTGTAATATTGTCATATATGTTATTATTTGATTTATGTTATAACATATGTACGTTCGTTGACAGTGTCTATCATTTGTACTATTATAATATTAATAGCAGATGAGTAGTGTTTGCTTTCTCAATCCTTATAACGTTCGTCCATAGTATGATCAGTTATTTATAATAACAATGTTTCTGTTATATTACAGAATATTTTTAGTGATTAAATGTTGCAGTAAGTGTTACTCATCATAGTTTCAACACTGCCTACATAGATTGAGTTATTGCTAGGCCAATGATCATAATCACTAAGATGACAATCATATAATGTCTGGGTCATATGTAGTATAGTAGATTGTGTGTCTGCAGTGTATTGATTCGTGTTTGGGATACTCAGACAGGTGTGTCAAGTTCTGCATTGTAGTATACTGTGTGCATGCATGCAATCTGTAGAGCTGCATAGAGCATAGACATAGTAGAGTGTAGATAAAGCATAGGCAGGGAGCACAAGGCTCATAACCTATTGAGAGGGGTTATGTGAGAGGCTTAGAGGGATCACACAAAGAGGGGGGATAGTGGACTCAGCTTGCTCTACTTAGCATCATTGTCTGTTGATTCAGTAGGTATATATAATATGTAGCTATGTCTTGGGTACGTCCGTTGCTTATATGCATCATTCCATATATGTTAACAAATACCCATCCTGGTTCTTGCCAGCTCTAAAGTAAATTCGTGCCTCCTGTGATCTATAAGAATAATTTCAGTCTATTACTACTAAAATGAGTTATAATATATACCTATCTGATGACTTTAGCCATCCAAACTGACTACAGAAGTCTGAGACCATAATAGAGAAGCCTTCACCCTTTGCTCTCAGTTTGGCAGAAGTACTATCATGGACCCACATTATTTTCCTCTGATCATTTGTATAAAAGGTTGATTCATCATAGGTGACAAGAATGAGAGAGCCAGCCTCCATCTCCTTCTCATAATCAGCCCAGAGTGGGAGGAAAACATTCTGCCTGTAATGAACAACATCCTCACACTTGTGCCCATCCACATACATTCCATTTGGAGCTTTGCCATAGCAGTACCCTATAACATGCATCCATTTCCTTGCAGTTTGTAAGGTAATAGGTTTAGAACAGCCTAGCTTAGCCAGTAGGGATGGTTGGTTTAGATAGTCTTGGATGTCCTGAGCAGATAAGTACACCTTCCCAAGACCTTGTAAATGAGCATGAATTTCTGACACAAGATCTTCATCACTAATAATGGACCTCTTCCATCTCCCATACAAGTTGATAGGATAGAAAGTGTCATCATTAAAGTGTAGCCAGGCCCAATACCGAAGTTTTCTAGCCAAGTATTCACCATGGTTCAATGTTACAGAAGCAGCAAGTACAGAAGCTTCCTTCCAACCCATATCCTCACTATCAACATACAGGTGCAAGAAGACAAGCAGAGCAGTGACTCGTGCACAGAGTAATTTGTCTATGTCCTTTCTCTCAGACGTGATTTGGAAGTGCCAGATAGTATCAGCTAGACTTGGGTCATTACAGTCTGGTGCAACAAATAGATGCTTGGAGTCATCAGCAACATCTGGCAGGTCACACAGTGTACTTGTCTGCTGGAAGGCATGAATTTGGGTATGCAATGCAGCAATCTGGACTGGTACAGGTACAGGACCAATGTGTGGGAGTACAGGTAACAGAAGTGTTTGCTGTTACTTCTTGGTCAAAGCGTGTGAGTGAGCGCCCTACTCCTTGTTCTCTGATGCCATCAATGTCTGTGTCAACGTATTGACCTTTACTCGCGTCGTAGTCCTGTGAAAATTGCTCTGGTGCACCGTGCTGCAAAGTGAGGGTTCCAGCAGTTGCGGATGACCCCTCGCGTGAATTCCTGAGGATTGTGTGTACAGATTGGCTCTCTGGCTGATGATTGATTGAGATAGTGTCTTCTTCATCACAGTTTGCAGTAGGGATAGGCTCGGAGGACGACGACGAAGCTGTGTTGGAGTCTCCACTGGTCGGAAGTGAAAGTGATGCCTTGAGCAGAGCAACACCCCCACCCGGCAGAACGCCTACCTCAACATCCGCACGAGTAGCATTGATCGCATCATCGTAACGGTTCTTCTTCTCTGTCGCCTCAAGATCATTCAAACTGCAAACCCGTATCACTGCAACTCCACCAGTGAGCCTTGCAAGACGATCTTGAAGCTTTGTCTTATCGTATTCGCCTGTCGTCGGGTCGTTCAGTGCAGAGCGAATCTGTTCACAGCGCGCCTGAATGGCATCCTTTGAACCTTCGCCATTGAAGAAGATGGTGTCCTCCTTCGTGATCGTCACAGACCCAGTTGAACCAAGTAAATCTGGTGTTGTGCGATCGAGCTTTATGTCAAGCTTGTCGGTAAAGACGGTACCACTGGTGAGGATCGCAAGGTCACCTAGAATGCCCTTCTGATTGTCACCAAACCCAGGAGCCTTGACTGCGGCCACCTGCAGCTGACCACGGACCTTGTTCAGTGTGCATGCCTCAAGTGCCTCACCGTCGACGTCTTCAGCAACAATGAGAAGCGGTCGACGAGTCTGTGCAGCTGCTTTGAGTGAAGGCGTGATGTCCTGCAACGACGAGATCTTCTTCTCGGACAGCAAAACGAGCGGTCTATCGAACTCGATCTTCTGGCTCTTGGCATCCGTGACGAAATACGGTGAAATGTAACCTTGGTCAAAACGCATTCCCTCCACGATTTCGATATTGTCCTCAATTGTACGTCCTTCTTTGACTGTGATAACTCCCTCCTTGCCAACTTTCTCTATGGTGGTCACGATGGGATTGCCAACATGTGTATTGCTGTTCGTGGAAAGACTTGCAATTCGTGCAATTTCCTCTGTCGTCGTAAGGGCCTTCGTGTTCTTTGAAGGGGAGTCAACCGTACATGGATGACTGAGTAAGTTTTCCTCCAGTGATACTGATCTATTGAGTCCTGTTAAGATGAGACTATACGAGAGTATGTCTCAGATGATATAAACTACATTACAAGCAATGACGAACGATGATGGAATACCTTCCATCATACATTCTACATCTGAGACATACCTACATAGTATATATAGACTAACTAATCAACGGACGATGAAGCAAGCTGCGAGAGAGCAAGCCGAGTCCACTATCCCCCCTCTTTGTGTGATCTCTCTAAGCCTCTCACATAACCTCTCTTCCCCCTTTATTAACAGGTTATGAGCCTTGCACTCCCTGCCTACACTTTATCTACACTCTACTATGTCTATGCTCTATGCAGTTCTATGCATCACATGCATGCACACAGCATACTATGATGCAGAACTCGACTCACCTGTCTGAGTATCCCAAACATGAATTAATACACTGTGAACACACAATCTACTATACTACATACAACCCAGACATTATATGATTGTCATCTTAGTGATTATGATCATTGGCCCAGTAATAACATAATCTATGCAGGCAATGTTGAAACTACAATGAGTATCACTTACTGCAATTATTAAATGCTAAAATACTCTATAATATTACAGAGATCATGTTATAATAAATTAACTGATCATATCACAGACAAACGTTAAAAAGATTAATAAAGCAAACACTACTCTTCTGCTATTAACATTACAATAGTACAAATGATTGACACTGTTAACAAACAAACATACTATGTTATAGCATAAATCAAATAATAACACATATAGTAATATCACAGCCAAACAATTAATGCTCAAAACGAGTGTATATATGCTACACAGTATATTAAATCAAATAAATAAAACATTTAACATGTATTATAAACAATAATACAATTGCAGACACTATAATAACAATAATAATAACGATAATAATGATAATAATATGGATAGAACTAACAGAACAAATACAGAACAATATAATAACTAACACATATCATGGTCGAGCAATTATATGTAACATATCAGATTCAGCAGTTACATGTCAGATATTGCAATTACTTATCAGATACCAAATATAATATGCATATCTAAGATATACAGACAAGTACAGATATACAAAAGTATAATGAATAACTACAAACCAAAAAAAACAATGCTACAGAGTGTATAAACTAACTACACACAAAAGAATAATGTTATAACGTGTAAATACTAATTACAGCACAAAACAAGTGCAAAAATTATAACTATTAAACAAATGATACTACTTTACACATTAATACAATTGTGTAAATGTATACTAACAACAAACGAAAGAATTATATCTCTAATATACTTGAAACAACACATCAATACAACTTAATTACACAGAACATGTTATTATGGCAGCTGATTATATAATAAATTTTGAAGTTGTAACAGTAACATCAACTGTACAGCATATATACCTTAATGAACAATTATTAAATTTACATTGTGATGACATAGCTTGTAGGAGCAAAGTATTAAGCTAATAAGGCTATTACAATGAATAATACAAATATTATTATTACAAATGCATTATTATAATAATTACAATCAAAAATAATCATAATATAATATGATTAAATAAATTAATAAAATGTTTAAGCTATTATCTTGGACAGTATAATATAAAATAGGCAATAACAGATGCAAGCATACTTAATAGAACTCAGTACATTTACTAAAAGTGCTACATAAATAATAATTATAACGTTATTAAACAAATATTATACGAAAACAAACAAATTACCATATGTTTTCAACACAAAAACAAAATATTCATTCATAGTTACAAACAATAATTAATAAAAGATAACGAGTGCAAACAAAACTTGTATATTATACATAATGTGTACTTATCTACTATAACAAACAAAATACACATTATATAAGTTGACAAACGTTAATGGTAACAAAGATATAATAGTAATACCACTTAAATTACTCATTATAGAACATAACAAACGTTACACAATAATTAGAAATTGAACCATGAAAGCAATTACAATTATTATATATAAATATTATATTATAACAATGATTAATAAACGTTAAAGAAATATCCAATTCTTTGAAGAAATACCTTCTTGAATTGAAGGGGAGAAAATGGATAATATGCACAAACAATTAATAACTAAATATAAACAACAGAACAGAAAGTATAACACTATGGATGCTACAAAAAATAGAATAATGAAATGCACAGATTAAGTACTGACTAAGTAATAGAAGTTACAGACAGACATAATGGATCATAAAGGTAAATCATTCAGTACAAAGCAAAATTATGTCAATCAGAACTAAATAACAGAAGTCAACACAACATATGATTGAACTTCAACATTAAATAAATAATAATTCTACTATGAAACAAATGCTCATACTTGGCAAATAATATTAATATAATAATATAATTAACTTAACAGTGTTTAATACGAAAATAAATAATATACAGACAATTATCACATTATATAACGAAATAATTCATCAATTCAGACTATAGTTCATGGATAAAAGTGATAAATAATGAAAATAATACTTCAGAACATACATAAAACAATAAATAATATATCTATATGATAATACAAATATAATTGTGATATAATTCGTAACTACAAATGAACAATATGCAGATAATAACTATATAAACAAGTATAGAGTGTATACATATAATTAAATAAAACTATTAAATCAATTCTTGTACAAACAATTAATTTGCCCTCACTGTACAATTAATACAAGTGTGAACAGCATTATAATACTATGAAATACATTGGATAGATACTAATAGGTACATCTATACAATGATTCAAATAAAATAAATAAAACCAATATATAAAACGTTTTACCTAGCAAACCAATTAACAAATAAAACGTTGAACAAATACTACAATTGTGTATAGCACTAGATTAACTAAAGAATGCTAGGAGACAATTATAGTAAACATAATCTGATATATCAATTATATGCAGATTGTGTTACAATACATTATTCTTTACAAAAGAAAAAGTAAAGAACAATAGCCATAACATACACACATATATACACACAATACTATGATTGTGACAATTCACAATAACATTGTTAATGATAAATAATACAAACACACATTAGTAATGATTTACAACAGATAACTATGTTGGCTATTAAAGAAACAATGCAACAGATTGCATAGTTACTCAGGATACATTAGAAACAATCAATTAACAAACATAACGTTAATAAATTAATACACAGATATAAACAATAATGTAAAGCAAACGAACGAACAATACATTCATGATATAATATATACACAATACACCTAGACACATAGTGAGATGCCTGCAGCCAGACATAACATCT